GGTGTTCGCGTTTGCTGACACCCCTGCTTTGGTCTGCTCAGGTAAATATTTTAATGTTTTATCGTTTAATATATTTTCCATGCTTAGATTAAAAGCTGGTTAGCAGTATCAAAGTTTTTTTTTCTTTTATCAAAGTATGCTTGAGTCCAAATGCGATTTTGTTGCATACCGGCTTGAGATTTGGTGGCAGCGGCGAAGACTGTGTTTTTCTGCGATGTCATCAAAAACTTTCATCACAGACATCTCAAAAGAAAAATACTCTCTTCCGGAAAGCACATTGTCTTGGCCATAGTCGGAGCCATGTTTTTATCATCGACAGCTTGGCGCTACAGCCTATCCTATGCACGGAAAAGTCTCGCATCTTGTAGCAACAAGCCGTCAACAAATTGTGTTCGCACTGCTTGTCCCAAGTTGTCAACATGCTTGGAACAAGCTGTTAACAACTTTGTTGATATTATCAGATTTGTTGCAAGGTTGTTCCAACAAGTCCGATACAGACGTGATATAACAATATTGTTACAACCTTGTGTCGTCAACCTTGTACCATTCTTCTTATATCATGACTGTATCAGACATGTTGGAACAACCTTGTAACAAGTCTGATAATGCCATCAAGCTTGTTACAAGTTGTTAACAGCTTGTTCCAAATGTGTTCCAACAACTGGGAACAAGCAGTGCGAACACAACTTGTCGACAGCTTGTGATCTGATCTGTAACAACTTGTTTACAGACTTGTAACAACTTGTGCGTTTTTACATGTGAACGTTTACACGTGAAAACGCACAAGTTGTAACTGACCTGCAGCAGACTTGTAACAATGTTGTTCCAACAACTTGTCAACAGGATGTGTTCCCATTGCTTGTTCCCAGCTTGTTGACAAATTTTCAACGGCTTGTTGACAACTTGGTACAAGGTTGTTGAGCTCAACAGACTTGTTACAAGTTGTTGAGCTCAACAGACTTTTTACAAGTTGTTCCAACAGCTTGTTATCGTCTTGCAATTCAATAATTTGTCAACAAGTTGTGAGTGTCAGCCTTGTAGCTACTTGATAAAATAACATTATAAACTATTATTACAACTTGTTGACAAGCTTGCTACAAGCCTGTTGTCAACACATCTTGTTGACAAGGTGTGAGATTTTTACGTTTGTAATTATGAAATAAATTTACATCCTGTTCGCCTCGGACAACAACGGCAGTCTCATGCAGGGTCACAAGGAGCAAATAAAAGATCTAAAGCGACAGACTTTCACGAAAGCGAGGCTCTATAGCCAAGCTCGCGTACTTTCTGGAAGGGTCAGTTAGGAGTCGTTTCTTCTGAATAGAAATAATTCGAAACTACGGTAGTCGCCTCTGTTAGTTAACCAGTAATGACCATTACAGACTTTCTACGCCACTGTTTATTTCTTTGGTTTCGTTTAGTTCCTGTTGTTGGTATGTTTATTGGGGCTGTCATTGCCTATTTCAGAAGTATGATGTCACAGCAAGCCTCGCCAGACCAACAAGGTTAGCAGACTCCTTTACGAGGTCAGCTGATGGTGGTCAACTTGGGCTGTAGTGAAACCCGCCAATAGCTCTAATTTACAACATTCTTCCCTCGTATTCTAGGCTCGTTATTTGCAGCAATTGGATTTGTAGATGTATTGGCGACAGTTGTTTCATCCGGCATATTTTATCTTCTTTATCCACTTTCTTTGAAATTTGATTTTAATGGGACATCATTCCTCGTCGCAGCTGTCTTTGCGCTGGTTGTTCTTTACCTTTCTACGTAAGTTTTAGTTTCAACAATTTTGTCTAGAATCGTGGTTGATTACCTATCCTGACATGAAGTTTATTCCACCTCCCAATTTTGGGATCATGCCATGTTTTTTCTACTCTGCCTTGTCTGATTCTGGTTAACGTAAACCACATTCTGAAAGAAACATTTTTGAAACTCCCGTCCAGTGTCTTCATCGAGAAAATTAATATTAATTAAGGGGTCGCAAAACTAGGCAATGATTTTCAAACTTTTAGTACGCAGTTGTAATATTGTTATTATACGCGTAAAAGCGAACAGCTTGTAACAATGCTGCAAACAAGTTGTTACAAGTCTGTTCACAAGCTGTCAACAAGTTGTCTTCGCACTGCTTGTTCCCAGTTTGTTGTAACAAGTTTGTAACAAGCTGTTAGCAACTTGTAACAAGCTTGATGGCGTTATCAGACTTGTTACAAAGTTGTTCTAACAAGTTTGATACATGATACGATCATTAAAAAACAAGGATGTTACAAGGTGGTAACAATTTGTTATATCAAGCATGTAACGGACTTGTCAGAACAACCTTGTAACAAGTCTGATATTAATTTCGGCAAGGTCGTTACAAGTCGTCAACAAGTTGTTACAAAACTGTTGACAACTTGTGACAAGCAGTGCGAAGACAACTTGTTGACAAACTTGTTACAAGATGTGAGATTTTTGCGTGTGTATAGTATTGAATAGAATATCATGTTGTGAAGGTTTCTCTTGATATTTCTGATCCTCGCAAAATGTGTTTTAATTTTTTTCTTTTTCTTTTTTAGACGACTGACTGACAGTATAATGGATATGCCAGCGGAAATTATTGAATATGAAGGAGAACCGGTTGATGAGAAAACTCCTCTCCTATTATCAGACGTACATTCCGACGTGAAAACATAACATATTTTCACCAAGAGTTGCGATTGTTAACATTTAGGCCTAAATGTCGTGCCACGAGCCCTATGAAAGCTGGCTCAATCAGTGAGATTAGCCTTTAGGTGATTTAAATTAGCCTCACATATAGAAATAATAGATATATAAATTATTTATTATGACCGTATATAGATTTCTCAATAGACCTTTTCGGGAACAACATGAAATTCTCACACGGAAAGAACAAAATAGCCTGACCACACTTTTAATAATATAGTATAATGTCTTTTATAGTAATTTTTGAATGTCAAATAGCCTGGGGCCGGTTAGCCATTTTTTTCAAGCTTTCTCAAATGAAAATCTTATATTTATTGTGGGTCCAATGACCATATGCATATCTGTAATTTAACAAATTTTCTGGCATTTTTACAAAGGTTGAAGAAATCGCTACCCGACCATAGGGCAATGCCAATGGAGTGGTTTTGCTTTTTGCAATTTTGGAACGGTTATATGGATACATGTAACAACTTGGAAACTGAAAATTATATATTCTAATGGCAACAATTTTCTGATGTAAATATGCATGTATGTAATTATGTAGCATGTACCACATTGTATTTATCACATGCACCAATAAGATGTCTAAGATTACCTCTCTTATTGCATCTTGAGGGTGATTAACTGTAGTGTACATTTGGTACTTGGCAAAATATCCTTCCAAATGCCTTGCTGATTGTAAAAACTTCTCAATGCAACTATCAACACCTGCAGAGACAATTGATTGGAAATTACAATAAATTTAACTTCCAAGGGCTGACTGGATGAGCTAATTATGTGTTAGTCAGATCACCCTTGTAGATGCTGGAACAATTTCAAGCATTTGAGGTTAGAGAAGAAGAGACCTGGGTACTAGAATAGTATTGAAAAGTTTTGGGATTTAGCCACTAAGATAACAAGTTTTCATAACCTGTTTTGTTTTGGACATCATCTTCATGTCGACTTTGACTTAAAAGTGTTGATATACAAGCCTAAACAAAAATTATCAACAGATGTATTACTACCCTGCCAGTGATGGGTGTTGAAAAACAATTCCTACAAAGGAAACATTTGGTTACAACGTAAAAAAAATTTCGAAATGAATTATACTTTATTATAACTTTTATATTTTTCCTCCATTTTCGACTATTATATAGAATATTTCCCCCAATATTGAGAGAATTTCTCCTATTTATTTTTATAATAAGCCAATATTGCCCGGCTATGAAGCGAATATTGCCTGATTGGCCTAGTCTGCCCAACAATTTGGGGGGCAGCTCCCCCCCCCCCTCCCAATATGCCTATGGCCACGAGCAGGTTCTCCAAGGAAAGTTAGGTTCCACTCCAGACACAGACTTGTGTACATAGCTCATGACACAGTTGTATACCAGTGTGGAAAGTTCGTATTGTGCAACCAAGATATTGGGCATGCAATTTTGATGCCTTCTATATATTTACTTTTTAAAATCTCGGTCATGCAATTTCCAAACTTTCCAGTCGGGGACTTATACACAGATGATACATCTGTGTATAAAATATTTTGGCATGATGCACCATGATGGTGAATCTACCAGATGGAGATGCCTTGGCAGATGACACATCTGTAGCATAAAGTGAATGTGATCCCATTCACCATCACCCCCCCCCCCCAATTGACAGACCTGCAAAGATGACTCTAAATCCTTCACTAAATTTTGCTCCATTGTATTATTTCGCTAACAACAACATCCACAGGGCCTACCGCTTTATAAATGTAAACTTTGTAAGCAATATAAATAATAAAATACGATAAAATACAACAGTAACTACAAATTTCTTGTTTTTGTTTTGTGTATTCCCTTTCCCAGTCCCTCGCGGTTAACTAGAACGTGTTGGTCCCACGTGCTTCCGGTTTGATAGATCAAAACAAACATGGCCTCAAAATCTGGACAAGAGGCAGCAATTTTCTCTTCTGATCCGTTGTTTTGTCCCAATTGTGGATCGATTTTTCCTTTACCAGGTCTGTCAGATGTAGTTACTTGTAAAGTGTGCAAATTTCAAAAAGATACTAAAGGTATGATTTGTTTTTCTCGTGATCTTAATTTCACGTGCTTATAATTCCATATTTGATACAGTATATACACTAAAACTAGAATTAGTAAAATAGGCCGTTGTGTTCATCTGCGGATGACATATACATCATCACCACAATAATTAAGGTGTGGCTAGTATATATGATTTTATAAAGTTGTTCAAAATAACACCCTGGCCCTGGGAATGTCCTTTTTTTAGTAGAACCCCCCGAAAATCTGCACTCTCCTGCGAGATGAGACTTGACCCTTTATTTATTCTTTTTTCAAACAGAATTTGAAGGGATTGAGATCTATTCAAAGAAAGTTTTTAATACTTACAAACCTAAATCTGACATTCAACAAGTTGATGACGAAAATGAGCTTGTCGGACCAATGGTAAGGATTCATTAATTGTGGAAAACTCATTTGAAAATAAAACCAAACAGAGAACATTTAAAGAGTTTCTGAATTCTGTTCATTAGAATTGTCCACTGACTGCTGCCAGGTTTAATATTACCACAAATGTCGATGTGCTTCTTCTCGGCCGAAAAAATGTGTGGCATATACCTAACAACAACTTGTGTTTATATAACAACAAACTCACATACACTTGTGTTTACATAACAAGAAATGTTTGGGCAATTACAGGTGGACCAGAAATGCTCAAAATGTGGACACGAAGGAATGACGTTCTTAACAAGACAAACTCGTTCAGCAGATGAAGGACAAACTGTGTTTTATAACTGTCCACGTTGTGGGTATGTATGTATTAAAATTCAGTAAAATAACTGGCTGTAGTTTAAAACCAGAACTATCTGAAAAAACAGACTACTTGGAAGAAAGACTATTGGAAGAAACAATGAAATGTTTAAGAACTTGTCCAATTCAAACACCAACAACAGCAACTTATAATATATTGCATAATTACAATACATTTCATGTTGTACCTTTCACTTTTGTTATTTACACTGTCTAATTGTTTTATAGCTTTCAGGAAACCGAATATTCATGACCATGTTATAGAAGCAGTTTTGTATTGGCTTAGAAGCTGAATCACAACAAACTGATGATACAGAAAAGAGGAACAACTGGAACATATTTACCAATAAACTCACATTGCAATTGTGGTCTGATAACTCAAGCAGTCAAGGTTGTATGGCAGTATATGAACAGACCTTAGACATTACTCAACCTGTACATCATCAGACTATAAATGATAGGAACCATGCAACTAAGAATAAGCAATGTGTGAATGTAAATATAATGCTAGCGGCAGGCCCAGCAAACACAGTTGGCGGATTATCTAGATGACATTCTTTAGACTACATGTAACTGGCACAACTTCTCCACATGGCAAACAAGGATTTTTGTCTGATGTAAAACCTGTTGAAATTAATCGGACAGAGTTAGGATTAGGCTAGGGTGTAGGATTAGGATTAAGGCTAGTGTTACGGGATCTTACTGTAAGATAGCTAGGATTAGGTTTGCATGGATTAATTTTGCACTTTTGCTCAGGGCTAGGATTAGCCTACTCCGAGGCTTAGTCTCGGCCTAGGATTAATCTATGGATTAATATTACTGTGGATTATTAATATCGTGTCGTATTTGGAAATTTTATTATGATCACGTGAGAGTGTACGCCAATGAACCTACTTTTTTACTTTGCTAATTGCTGCACTCTCCTTCTGCCCGCTTCGGTTCTTGCGTCAAAATGTTTCGAGCTGTTCTTGTCGTTTCTCTTTGCATTTCGGTCGTTTTCTCCTATGGAGGAATACGGGAAACAACCGGAGATGATAAAGAAGTGCAGAAAGCTGTCGGCTTTGCCATGAACAAGCTGAATGCAATGTCAAACAACTATTATCGGTACATGGCGTTTGAAACCATCGATGCTACAAAACAGGTTTGAAGCAATTTTGTGCTTTTACCGTACACATTTTCTACATATTCTGAATAAAGCAAGTATTTTTAGTAGTATTGTGCTTGTGAAAGTGTAAGTTTATTGTTTTATTTTTAAGTTCTAAGTGCTATCTTTATGTTTTTGTCACGGTTAATTGCACTCAATTTCAAACAAAATAAATACACTTGTACTTGTTTTGACATGAAATTTTGTAAATATAAGATGCAAAATTTTGGATTTAATCGCGCTTTAAATTAAATTTAATTCAATTCTTATAATGTAGTGTATTTGGTTTGCGTTTTATACATTTAAAACTGTATTTTTAAACATTTTTTGAAGGTTGTTTCTGGTATGAACTATTGTGTAGTTGTCGCAGTAGGATCATCCACCAAATGTCCAAAAAGCCCTGATAATGTTGACGCGACTTTGGATGAATGCCCTGTCGAAAAGAAAGAGGTACTGTATATTAACAAAACATCTGTGTTTGTATTTAATACTGTATGATGTGTCATTTATGAGATAAGGTCAGATCTCAAATGTAGATGTTGCAATGTAGATCAGTAGATGTTGCAATGTACTTTGTCGCGTGATGCTGTGACGCAAATGTAATTTGATACTTTTATGTCATTCAATGTCATTCTCAGATATGTTTAGTAACCCATTGAGTAGCATTGCGCCCTACTTATATTTACTCTAACGCCAGATGATTGTACTTGTCAAGGGGAGAGCGCTGGCGCTTAATGGTTTAACTGACCTATCTAGCTACCCATGTGTCTAGTTAATCCATTGAGTCACATTGTGCCATGAGCACTCTACTTTATTATTTTACTTTGTCTAAGGCCAGACTATATTTTACTCTATCTAACACCAGACAATTTCACTTGTCATGGGGAGAGCGCTGGCGCCTAATGGGTTAATGTCCGATTTTAGGTTTTTCTGAATGCTAATAGTGAAAATTGTCAGTTGGTGTTGTCATCAGAAGATCTCTATGTTTGCTACATGTTATGCAAATGCCATTAACCATTAAGTTTGCTTTGCACCCTAATGCACGCTACTTTGTTATGTATTTTACTCTGAACAATTTTATTCATCAAGGGAGTGCATTGGAAATTTGCCTGACAAATCACAGTGTGTAAACACACCTTTAGGTTAGCCTCCTGTGCCATAGACGCTATGTGGTAGATTGCTGCCGATAAGCAGTTCTATATATTTTACACAAGTTTTATTGTGACCTGTAATATGTTACATACAAATTCGCACCAATATGAGGCAGCGAGAAGGCAGGCTGGTTTGCTGGTACAACACAGCACAATTTAGTTAACCATTGATGTCCGGCCAAAACTTTCCACTCAATCCATAAACCAAGTTGCCGTTTTCTTGTAGATGGAGTGTCGTTTTGTCGTCTGGGAGCGAAGTTGGCTTCATGACCCAGATGAGCAAATGAAACTGACAGAACAAAAATGCTCTACAGATGAACATTTGACATGTTCTGAGGGTGTTGTGAGCATGAAGAATGATATTATGGAGGAAGAAATGGATGTGAGTAATGACATTCAGGAGATTAAAGATTTGTAAATTTGAGAAAGTTTTCAATATGTAATCAGTGATTGTTTTGTTCAGATTTGTCAGAAATTGCCTTAAGCTAGGTGCTATCATGTACTGTTCATCTAGATCCTATTATTTGAACTACGTCATATTGTCATTAGTTAATTGAACTCATATAATCCTTTTTGTTATGTTAATTAAAAGATAAGAGATTGTGCATGTTATCTATCTTGTGCGATTGTAAGCTAAGAGAGCGAGAGCTAGATCTTTGTGAAATATAATTTTATTATATTTGGATACGAGAAGCGAGGCTGTTTCTTGAAGCGAAGCAAGTTGCGCGTTTTCTGACATCTTTTGCATCTGCGTATAATATAGGCGTTGAACAACAGAAGTAGAGGTTCGAACGAACATAGGACATTATATTGTAGTTAAACTTTATATTGTACCTATTGAACCATATAAACTGATATTAAAGTTTTACAGTAAGATCACATCTGTGACCAGATTTGTAACCTACAAGATTCGTCACGCATTTCAGTGCGCACCAGCTATGTAATATTTTGCTGTTAGTCAGTGTTAGTATCACTAGCAAGCAGGTTTGATATCAGAAAAATACGGCTTGACTGCCACGTACTAGCTGCAATTGGCGAATCTTGTACTCGTGGTCATACTTGTACCACCTGAGGAATGAGATCAGATCAGTCTGCTATTGCAGAATAAAATTGTGCCATAGATAGTTAAAAAAGGTGTTTTGATTATCCGTGCTTGCACCCACATCTACAATCATGGCAAAACTTCCATGGACACTTAGGTGTAAACTAAAGTATACTGTTCACATTGTCTTCCTCCGCTCCCCCCTACAACGTTGCCGTTTTGACATGCATTTCACAACCTTTCACCTAACCAATTTATAAGCTTTCAACATTGAACGGGGGGGGGGGGGGGTAATAAAACTGCTCTTCAGTTTTAACCAATTGAACGTATGTATTGGGCAAGGCAGGTATTTCTATAACCGCGCGCGCTGTCCACAATAATTCTGCCAAGAATGCAGAACTGGTGCGTAACATTCAAAGATTACCCCCCTTCGGTTGTGTCCTTCGCGAATGCTTGTAAGTTGTATATAGATGTGCTGAACTTACTGCTTTTTTAAGTACTCTACTCTAGCCTCTAGGAATATTTAAGGTTCTTAAGCTTCCATTTCTAACCACACCAATTTGTAGGAAAGGATTTACACACTGAAAATGCTTCTAATGTAAAAGAACATAAAAAATTGTTTTGTACGAAAAGCTTTCTTCGTGTTTATGTAAATGAGGTAACGTCAATAAGACGACGTTCTTAATTGCTATTAATCATTCATGATTTTTGTATGAAGATCGCGGTCTTGTCTCCTAAAGACAAATAAGAGATATTAGTTCTTTTCGCGCTTTCCTGTACTGTTCAAAACTGTCATAATACATGAGTCTAACTAGCGTGGGCTCAGCATGTTTTACTACTTTCGCTTTCCAAACAGACTTCGCTGGATTAAAATCCTTTTTTCTATGTTATTGTCCAATAAGTCTTGTATCGCTGCTTTCCAGTGATGAGTGTTTAATGTACACGCAAGGAAAATATTTAATCCTTAGTAAATTTTATATAAGTAAATCATGCATGCAGTAAAACACACTTAATGATGAGCATGAATCCAATATATTTATTCACATGCGAATTAAAGCTTTTCCCGTGTGTGAATCATACACGTGTCACTTATTGAAACCGCGGACGAACCGACGAAAGTTCCTCTGTAAACAAATGGACCGGAACCCCAATGTAAATGTGGACTACGTAGCCTCAGTCCCTGAAACTTCTCATTTGATACAGATTTCTCGAAGGAAACCGTTTGAAATTTGCTGCTTGCTTGCTCGCGTCAACATGGACTTTCTTCATTGCTTTTGCCATATTTCTTTCATAAACAGCTGTGCTGTCAATTTCCATTTCAGGCTCTGCACAAATATTCTGTTGTATTAAGCCAACAATTTCGTATAATATACAAATATATACGACCCCAACCAGGCATTGTTGAAGCAAAAGATCGTCCATGAATATTGTAGTTAATAAGTTCTTACTTTCACAATACTTCGGTGCTGTTTACACGACTTTCATTATCAATTTGTTTTTGCTAACACCTGCTTATGTATGTGGAGAGTGTGTTCATTGGGTAATGCAAATTAGCTAAGATTATAAAATAGATTGCAAGTAATGTTTACTGACAAAGTGACGTTCCATGATGAATAGAAAAAACAACTTTGTAATGATTTGTTTTTTTTGAAAGTTATTGAGTGGATACATCTGATATTGGAAATGAGCATTTACTGTCCACTGATGTTGCTCTAAGTAGTATGTAAACGATCGAGAACAATGCAAATTATGGCGATGAATATATCAACCTCGTGTTGACGATGAATTTGAAAACCCTACCCACTGATAATCTAGTTAATCTGATTTATCGATCATTTTCTTGATAACTTGCGCGTCATCAATCGTGTACAGTGACAAGTCTGGTAATGCCTTTATTCAGGTAGTTGGACTGATATGGTGAATGGAACATATCTTTGTAAATTGTAATGATTTGTTTTTTTCAAAGATAGTGAGTGGGTGTTGGCGATGAATTTGAAAACCCTACCCACTGATACTAATCTAGTTAATCAGATATATCGATCATGACGAACATATTTTTCTTCAGATAACTTGATTGCGCGCCCCGATCGTGAAAAGTAGAATGAATCGCGCATTTGGCGGGAAATTGGGACCATGTGACCTGGCATATTGACCTCGTGCAGTTGTAAACAAACCAGGCAAACTTATGATTTTGTAGTGAAAATAATACAATAAATAAACACGTATAAAATATATAATATTTGCAGTAATTGCGTTCATAATGCTTGGGCAGTCGAAAATATCCAGTTTCTTTAAATCACAACCGATGAAGCGACCCTTGGAAGATCTGCAATCTTGCCAATCTTCACCGCCATCAAAAGCAATGAAGACAGACGGTTCTGGTTTGAGTCCGGAGCAGAAAGCAGCTATTCAGGAGAAAAAACAAGCTGCTTTGGCAAAGTTAGCAAGTAAAACTGCACCATGTGGTATGGGGCAAAGTTGGAAGAAAGCTCTGGAACCAGAATTTTCCAAAGATTACTTTAAGAAAGTATGCATTTTTTGAAATGTTTCAAATTGTAAATTGTATTGTAATACTGTACTAGATAGTTTAGTCAGCCTACTGGATTGTATGTAAGACTATGCCGTGTTTACTCGCCAAGCCTTGGCCTAGTTGCCTAGTCTAGCTTACCTTTTCACTTGTGTGGTAGATTTAATTGATTGAAAACCTGACCAAGTCACCAAGGCCATGCCAAAGATAGCTAATGTCAGCTATGGGCTAATGGCCTATGGTGCACATTCTAAGGTTGGGTTAGGGAATACCAGAAGATAGCCTACGGGTCATTTAGAAATATGCTTATAACAACACAAAGGGGGTTTATACAAATCAGTAGCTGCATTAAAGATTTTGCAGGGCCTACACCCCTAGGGTGAAGGGTCCCTTATCAATTAAGTTGAAGTTCAGGGACATGCCCCACCTGCTCTTGTCCTATTGGAGGGCCTGTTGGTCGTAACACACATTGATAATTTCATGTTGTACATCACATGATAGCTAGAGATCCCAAACAATAAGTGTGCATTAGGCTGTCTTAAGGGGTGGACCATTTCGGCTGTCTACTTGTGCTGGAGTTTTTTGTAGAATTCCAAAGGTATTTTTCTTTGCTTTCCCTCTTTGCACAATTTGTTTTCTTTTGTTTTCCTTTGCGCAAATTTTTTTTTTGTTTCCCCCCATCACTTTTCTAACGGTCCGCCCCTAACTTTCTTGCTAATCTTTATCTGGCCAAATATTGGAATATGCAATATACAAGGAGTGAACCAATATACACTTTTGAGCACCCTAGAAAATTCACCAACTAATGCTAGCCAAGCTGAATATCCTAGATTTGTGGAGGTTTTGTGAAGGGGTTATATGAAATTGATTTTATGAAAATAAATTTTAGCTCATGCAGTTTGTTGAATCAGAAAGAAATTCTCATACAATTTATCCACAAGGTATGTGATGTAATACATATTGTAATGTTCACAATAATCATTCGATCACCTAGTTGTTCCTAGCTGTGAATAATGAATAATGTTTTGAATTTTCTAGAGAGTGATGTTTATTCCTGGACAAAACATTGTTTGATTAGTGAGGTAGTTCTTCATGAATGGAAAATCAAGTTTTTGGCTTAAATCAAATGAAAATTTATTAACATGTTAACTTACAAAAATGGACAGTTAACCAGTGGTTTTAATCGGGAGGGTATCCACCCTCGTTGGTTCTCATCACTAAATCAACGTCTCAAGTCACCACTTTAGTATTAAAGCTCCCTATACCATTTTAAGCCCCTACCATCATTATTAATTAGGACTGATCCTCCTGCCTGATTATATTTATTTACTAACCTGTATATTCATGATAGTTTACTGTGTTTCTTATATGTGATGCATATTGTCTGAGTCAATTATCACACCCCCTCCCCTCCGGCTCGGACGTGCCTGAAATAAATAAGCCCTCTGGGTGTTAATAGCAAGACCCTGATAACAGATTTATGGTAGTGTATTAAATTATATTTTCTTAATTTGAATTTTTCAAACAATCTTCTGTGGCTAGGTTAAAGTTGTGATAATTGGTCAAGATCCATACCATCAACCAAAGCAGGCTCATGGTTAGTTCAAGTTTGATTGTTTATTTGCAATATATCATACATGAATTAAGGACTTGAGGTACACTATATCTTACTTCTACATGTAGGACTGTGCTTTAGTGTTCCTGCTGGAGTTGCATCACCACCAAGGTAATTGGTGCTCACCAAAATGTCTTCTGTCTTGTAGTAAATTAAACATCCAATTACTAAAACCCTTAGCTGCTCAGATTCCTGAGTAATATTTCTGAGTCATAGTTTAGCAGGTCTATGTTGAACAGAGTACTAATATACTATAAAGCAAGGGAGAAAATCCATTCCAAAAAGTGGGGGATGAATCTGGCTAACAGACACAATTTATTTTCTATTATATTAAGAATGTCCAAAAATTCGAATTAAGTCCTTTTTTGGTTTGAATTAATTAACAAATTAGAATGAAATTAGATTTAATTAACAGCCTTGTTTTAAAGCAAATGCTATTGTTGTTGTATTGAATTGGTGCAAAGGCGTTACAGTACAAGTTTCATTTTCCACATTGCAGTTTAGTGAATATTTATAAAGAACTGCAGAATGATATTCAAGGATTCTCAATTCCTAAACATGGAAATCTTACTGGATGGGCAAAACAGGGTACGTATTTTGTGTTTGTATTAATATTTCAATCTATTGGCAGCGAAAGAAAAACAAAACAAAACGGAAATATTAGAAGAAAGAGATTGAAATTTGTAGGTCAAAATTGACTTACAATTTTGAAATTAATTGTAGGCCAGAAAAAATTCTTAATTTGCACCCTGATTAAACTGCATGCAATGAAATATACAATTTCAATATTTGAATGATTAGTTGACAGCAGTGGTAAAGCAATGACAAGTCAATGACATCTGATAAATCCTCTAGGTGTTCTGTTGCTCAATGCATGTTTGACAGTGCGAGCAAGTCAAGCAAATTCACACAAGGACAAGGTATTGTATTTTAAGAGGAAAACCTTTCGATATTCTGTGGTGTTCTAATTATTATTTTTTTGCATTAGTTTGTTGTTTTCTGCCTGAATTTAGGGTTGGGAGAAATTTACAGATGCGGTAATTAAGTGGATAAATCTTCATCGTGCAAATGTAGTTTTTCTCTTATGGGGTTCCTACGCTCAGAAGAAAGGCGCCTGTATAGATAAGGTAGGAAATCACAGGGCTGGAAAAAAATTAAGGAATTTTCTTCCTGGGACTGCTGGGAGCACAACCTGGAGTCAAGAATTTCCTGCACTCCAACGGAATAATTTTGTGCTAAATCTGCATGTGCACAAACATCTAGTGTTCTAGCTGACCATAGTTTTCAATTCAAGGAATAATGTCTGTCAACCATATGTTGTTGTGCCCATAGTGGGACATGGGTGTTAAGGTTTCCTTTAAATTTTCAATAGCAAATCTTCATTCAAACGAATTTCCTGCAGCAGTTTAACATTTCCTGCGAGCAGTGCTCGCGTGCTCGCCTATTTTTTCCACCCCTGGGAAATCACTTGACTTTTCTAAATGACACTTCTCATATATCTGACCCTGTTTCTGGAGGGTATCATTCTTAGCCGGTTTGTCTTTGGTCTATTACCACTACCCCTTACAAATTTTCGTATTAATACGTTTGATATTTTTTGTATTTATATATTATATATTTTATTTTATTTTGTTTTATTTTATTTTATTTTATTTTATTTTAGAAAAGGCACGGTGTATTGAAATCTGTTCATCCTTCTCCGCTGTCAGCATACCGCGGATTCTTGGGTTGTAAGCATTTTTCGAAAGCGAATGAATATCTGAAGAACACGAAACAAACTCCAATAAACTGGTCTGATCTTCCTGCTGAAGCATCGTGAAGCCTCATAGTGAATGATTTAGCGAAAAAGGACGCTGTTTAAAATCTTGAAAATACGTAGTACACAGATTACAGCTGTATTTGGCGAAAGGGACGCTGTTTAGATTAATTGTATAGTATAGAAGTGTAAAAATTTGAAATTATTTTTGTACAGTAACGATGAAAAACCCTGTTTTGTTGGTTGTTTTATAATAAAAACAATACCTAATTTCCTGCGTGAGTATACGAGTATAAATCATGGAACCCTTAGTTCCAATGTATAAATCTTCCAAAAAATTTTAATAATCATTCGTCTGTAGAATCTTTACAAGTCCTGGGGCAGTGGGGCTCAGGGCCTGCGAGAGAATTCGCGGGGCCCGGGCCAAATCTTTTCTGGGGGGGCCCATGACATTATTTTTAAGCCAGACCCAAGTCATTCACCTAAATAGACCTTAGCTAGACTGCATGTGGAGTTACCGTCAACTTACACTATAGTCTGACCAAATGCATGCTGGTATTTGATTATTGTGTCACGTGGTAGTACGTACGCAGCAGTACCTATTTTTAACGTTTTTATTTTTTCATTGAGCCCGCGATATTGGTGGTTTTCCAAGATGGCGGCCGAAAACGTGCAAAACGAAGTGAAACAATTTCACGAGTTTGGCTTGGATGATCGTCTACTAAAGGTAGGAAATCTACTGTAGTTTGGTTTAAAGGGTTAAGGAATTGTCTATTTATCCTAATATGCCTTTTTTCCTGTTATTTGTTAGGCGATTTCTAAACTAAAGTGGTTGAAGCCAACGCCAATTCAGGTATTTCATAGGAGTGGGGGCCATTCCATTTAATATACACACCCCCCTATGGATGAGGTTTTCTGAGGGGTTGTCTGAATTTTGACAAAATTCTTAAGGGTTGCCTGTAAATTATTAAAATTTCTTAAGGGTCATCTCTAATTTACTAAAATTTCTTGACGTTTATAACATCGAATAAAAGTTTATCCGAAGGGTTGTCTAAAATATGAAAAATTCTGAACAGCATGCTATTGGAGATGAAGTTTTCTGAGGGATCGCCTGAATTTTAAAAAAATTCTTAGGGTTTGTCCACCAGGACGACGAATTTCTGGGGAATCGTGCACATCTAAACAATCAAACGTATTATTAAAAAATACCAGATATTAAACGTGTCAAAAACACAAATAGATGGCTTTATTCTATATTCGCCAGAGGTTGGGTTTATAATTATTGTAGAAACCCTCTAAAATTGTGAGGGGTTGGCTCTCAAAAGCTTTGTTTCTGAGGGGTTAATATTTTGTATGTAAATTTCTTAGGGGTCGCTTTTCATAAATGGCAATTTCTGAGGGGTCAGAAAAATAGCAACCTCATCCATAGGAATTTCTGATGAGTATGACCGTTTGGAAAAAAAATTCGGACGGTTGTCTATGAAAATCCCATTTCTTAAGGGTAGGCGTGTCGAACCGCAGTTGATTTCTGAGGGGTCTCAAAACTATCAGACCTCATCCATAGGGGGGTGTGTATATTAA